ATTTAAATAAATATTTATATTGACAATATGTGGCACAATGTTTACTATTAGTTTATTTTACATATATTACTAACTTTTAATTGCCCTATTTACAATATTTTCATGCTATTTACTCACGTAGTCCATTTAGTGATTAAATTAAATTATTTTAAATTCATTATGTTTCGATTTCTTGTTTGAACATATGTATTTCAATAATTTTTCACAATTTATTTTAAGAAGCTGAATTAACTATCTTTAGTCAGTTGAGAGTTTATGCAATGAATACTGAAAAGCTCACAATGACTGCAGACTCTTACCATTTGATAGCCCTTTTAGAAGTGGAATCTGACATTAATCCTTGGTTTGTCTATTTTCRTAGCATACATAAGCTGCCTTAGATTCACTATTTCTCTACTCGCTTCTCTGCTCTCTTGTAAAAAAAGTTATAAGTGAAAGCAACAACAAAGTTGTCAAGTTGAATACCTCATGAAAGTCGTAAAGTTCGATTCACGAACGAATRTTATAAGTATATAATGATTGTTCATATACAATTAGAACAATAGAAAGATTGGTTGCTGAATTCAATCGTAATTGTACACGCCTTGAAGACGATACGCGTGAAGGACTTCCAAAAATCACATTAACACTAAAAATCATATAAAATACAGGATATGGCTTTGGAAGATCGCCGATTGACTAAAAGAGATTTAGTAAAGGCTCCACAGATCTCCTTAGGCAGTTTGAGTCATATTTTAAGTAAAATTTTGGRTTTAAGAAAGCTAACAATGGAACAAAACCACTTTCGAATGCGAATTTCTCAGAAATATTTGGAGCGTTTTAAAAAGGATAAAGTGGATTTTGTGCATCRATTTATCAGTATGGATAAGACTTGGATCTATCACTATGATCCTGAACCAAAACAATAGGCTAAAGTGGTGAGTGTGGTGAACCAGGTTGTTCGGCTTTGAAACGAGTTCRTGTCCGGAAATCGGMCATGARTGTCATGGCAATAGTTTTTTGGAAYGCGATTTGTTTWTGGATTACTTACAAACTGGTAAAACAATTAGTTCTGAATATTATTGCAACTTTCTGGATCAGTTTAAGGAAAAATTGGTGAAAAAAGACCCGGTTTGTAGAAGAATCCTTTTTCATTAGGACAATGCACCGTGTCACAAGAGCATTTTGACAAAGGCTAAAATCCATGAATTAAAGTTCCAATTTTTGGAGAATTCAGCGTATACACCACATTTGGCCCCCACCGACTTCCAAACGTTTTTCATCAATACAAAAAGTCTTAACGGCTGTTGAAGCATATTTTGTAGACCTTTCGGGTTCTCACTTCAGAGATGAGATCGACAAATTGGGGGATCATTAGGGCAAGTGTATTAATGTTCAGGTAGATTGTATTGAATAAAAAAATGGATTTTGAATCATAAAATTGAGTTATTCTTATCAAGCGACAGAATTTATTAAAACTACTTTACTATTGTGAATGATTCGAAAGAAAAATGAAGAGACGAACTTATTTTTACAACCCGAAGAGGGTGTATCAAGTTTGCAACGAAGCTTAAACCCYCAGCAGGAAACGTCGGAGATCATCTGTCTGTTTGCATATACACGAAATAGTGCCTTTATTTTTGAGATGTCGATTTGAAATTTTGCGCACGTCTTTTTCTATCCAAGACATTATCGCATTTGTCAGCACCGTCGATGTCAGCTACAGTGACCCAAACAAATCTTTCGGAGAATGCATTATTACTTTAGATAAAAAATCAAATTTCGTGAGGATATCTCGTGAAATGAACCCGTTTTCCATAAGAGCCCTTGATTCCGACAGTTCASTTTTTATGTCCAGTTGTTCAAACTGAGCTATTTCTTCGGAGATTACATAAACGGTCGTTCAGTTTATATGGCAGCTATAATCTATAGTGATCTGATCCAAATATTTTCTGCTGTGATGTCACTATTTCCTTATGTAATACCACATATYAAATTTTGTGAAGATAAAAAATKAAAAATKAAAAAGTCTTCTCTTTATCCCTTTATTCTGATYATTCARTTTGTATGGCAACAACATGATWTAGTTGTCCGATTTCTTTGGTTTAATCTTCGGCTTGACACTGAAAGCTAAACAATATTAACATTTTAATATAATATTTTCTGAAGCCTTTGGAGATTTGCAATCAAACGAACGCACCGCAGTGATTGGKTTGCATTATTCAGAGTTGATGTCGTGGACTATTTAAGTTTATATAGAATTTTGAGAAATGAAATTGCTAACTCTACTTAATCATTCGTCCGCAAAAATTTGTCATTATTTCTTCCAGCGCTAGTGCTAATTGCAAGGAAACTTTTTACTCGCTCATCAATCTAACTGCACTTAATGCCTAATACAATTTATCAAGGACGTACTGAAGCAGGTAGCAGCTCAGARCCACTTAGCCAATGTAGTGTTATAGCGCAACTTCATTGTTTTACCTTTATACATATCTATTTATTTATACTGGTGTGGACTTATTGGTATATCTTTACTTACATATTTCATTACATATTTTCATGCCTCAWACTTTTACTTTGTAAGCTATTTCACTATACATTTCGTACTTTGACTTTATTTTATTATTATTATTATCTTTTTTTTTTTCAATACACGGCATACACTTGCTTGCGGCACACATTCATACATACCATTTTACGAGAGTTCTTACAACACGGACTTCACGTCGCAGCACACACTTGTAGGACTTGCTTGGCGCCTTTCTCGGCGCACTGCATAAATTGCCAGCTCAGACGCAGCTTTCGGGCACACGCTGTGTCATTAAGCAATCCTTGATGGCATTTATATTTATGTTGTCATCCAAGTCGCTGGACGAATTGCAGGACGTCGTTGCTGTAGAGGCCGCAGATGCCGTTGCCGCGCCCGTCATACTCAGCCCCAGACCGCTGGCACCACCACTACTACTACTATTATTATTGCTGGCATTCAGTAACAGCCCGATCCCACTTAACGACGCCGACGTCTGTGAGGTGAGCAACATCGACGGCAATGCGCTATGATGGTGACGTCCATTGGCACTCACACCCGTTGTGCCGGCGAGGGTATTGTATGCGAGTGGATGTGGCACGGGTAGCGGATGGTGTGACTGCTGTTGGTGGTGATGCAGCATTGTTGCACGACCTATAGTGCCGCCAACTACATTATGATGCAATCCACCGTTGCTGCCACTGATGCTACCGTTGCTATTGCAACTCTCATTACTATTGATGAGACTGTTGAGTATGTAAGCGCTGCCACCGCCCAAACCGGGTGGCAACGTGCCGCCACTGCCAGCRCCCTGCAATTGCTGTTGTTGYTGCTGCTGCTGCTGATGGGTGGCATTGTACGCGGCGGTGGGTGAACCGATTAGTACCTCATTTAGGCCATTCGCTGAATGGGTCGCTGTGACCACCGTTGCAGCTCCGGCAGCGGCACCGGCAGCGGCTCCTGCTGCTTTTGCGTTCAGCAATTGCTGCTGTTGATGGTGATGCAGTAAGCCAGTGTCCACAGCATTGACTATGACACTACTGCTACTGCCATTGGGATCTGCAGTTGGGCCCGAGTGTAGATGTGTTGTACGTGCTGTGATTTGATTAGCAGCGACGAGCTGCGTGATATTGTCATATGCGGTTGCAGGAAGGTGCTGCTGACAACCACGAACACAAGATGAACAAAAATCCAACGGGAAACAAACCGACGTGGTGATAAAGTGGTTGCAGACATGGTAGTTGGATGCGGTGCGCGTACATTCATCGTGGGAATTGTTAATCGTCAAAGTGTTAGTATGTCAAATGTGCAAATAAGTCAGTTGCATTGCAGCGGAAATTGTGTCAGCGTGTGTTTGTTCATTTGTGTGCGAGTTCAAAGTGTACGGGTAATTCATTCGATAGCGGAAATAGGCAACCATTAGTAGTGTCGTTGTCCCACAATGCAATTCGTAGCGCCAAGTAGATTGGCAACGACAAGTTACGAGTAGCAGTTAGTCATTTAGTTATCCAAGCAGTATTCAGTTGAGCAGCAGCAGCGACAATAAACGCCATCAAGACAGAAAAGAGAAGAACAGAAGAGAAGAAAAATGTGTTTAATAAGYAAAATGGTATAGAGCCACTTAAATTCAATCAAATCAACAATGAAGTACACCTAATTGTTTGCCTGTAATCGCGGCAGGCAGCCGTCARTAATGATCCTTTTGGGCAATAAAAGACATTATTGGTCTCTTACTTAGTATTATACGATTATATATGAGGAAGTATATTGACTAATGACAATAACATTGCATACTATTTTTTTATTATGTGAAAGCTACAAAATATTTCTAGAACAAATACTTCAATTCTTTTCAAAATATCTCAAATGTGTGCTGTTTATTGCAAAAATGATGCTGATGTGGTTTCTTCGCTCCATAAAGAAAACCAAAAATAAATAGAAAATAACAAAAAAGTAAACTTCGTTTGAACCMAAGCTATAACACTCTACACAAAATATAAAAAGTTCTAAACAAGAAATTGATTTTAAACGTCCAGTTTGTAAGGCAGCTATGACAACAGCATCACAGTAGCAAGCGTCACTTGTTATTTACAAATATTAAAAAGTGGACAAGGTCCAGCRCTCTAAGAGTTTGAAAAATTCTCTAACTCTGCTCACTCCACATATTCAAACTACTAAATGCGCGAGATCACAAGAAGAGGCTTTGTAGGAACCACTGTCAAAATTTAATGAGATTTCAACTAACCTCGAAAAATAGTGTTATTTTGATATTCCAATATTACAGTGCAAAAATATATGTAATATCATACTAAACAATTTAAATTATATCTGACTATTCCTTCAAGTGCACATATGAATACGGGGTCCACCTTTAGCTGGCTTTTATCCGAAAATATGGGTCAATGAGGTCACAATTGAAATTCAGCGATAATCTTTTCCCGATAATCGCATCTCTATATATCAAAAATTGGTT